TATAGTACACCCCTAAAATTTCAGATTTCTATATTTATTTTTGAAGGAGAAAAATGCTCATCGAAAAAACGACAAAATCCATACGAGGGTGGTGGTTTGGTTTTTGTGCGAATTCGGCAAGAACGCGCTTTCGGGGGTAGTTTTACGCATAGAATCCGAAACTCGCAAAATGAGTAGGGTACATCTAAAAAAACCACCCGTCACCCCCTAGGGTGGAAGGGGTGACTTGAAATTACGTGCGCTCTTAGTTCTTCCCATCTATAGTACACCCCTAAAATTTCAGATTTTTATATTCATTTTTGACGGAGATATTCCAGGTACCCAAGAGCTACTACAGTCCAACTTAAGCCTACCACACCACAAGTTTTTAGTTTTAAAATGTAAGGTTATGTTTGAAATTTGGCTTTATTCATGAAATGGCGGGAAAATTGATATATATCAGCTATTAACATAAATATAATAGCTGATATTTTTCAAAAATTGATATATATCAATTTGTTATATATTTTCACTCACATCACTAGTTTTTTTTCTTCCAGAGTTCTAAACAATTACATGGTATGGCAAACCGTAAGGGTATTCGCCATGTGTCTGTCCAAAGACTTCAGGGATGCCTACAAGGGCTTAAGAACGGCCTTGATGGGCTCGGAGGGGGGAGAAGAACCGCAGTGGAGGTACTGCATTCAAGACACTAACACGGTGCTCGGTGAGTTGTTTTTTTCTATAAAAATCTTACCGATGTAGTTGTTTCTGATATTTATAATTCAAAGGTTTTGCTATCGGCGCCATCTTTGTCCGTGAGGTCTTCCATCAGGATTCCAAGATCCAGGCTGAGGTGATGATCAACAACGTGAGGAACGCTTTCAAGAAAAATTTCAGTAACTTGAAGTGGATGGACGAAGAGACCAGGAAGGTTGCCATTGCCAAGGCTGATGCTATATCGGACATGATTGGTAAGATAGTATACTGTTTACAAGAGATAATTTCAGAAAATGGGAGATTGAAAAAAATATGTACCATATTTTTGGAATTAATTGGCCACATTTAAGATTCGAATTCTAAGTCCTGGAATCCTAGAATGTTTGAAAATGCCTCCTTTTCGAGATACTGAGTATTGAAATTTCTAAAATATCTAGGTTTATTATTGATTACTCTATTATAAATTAAATTAAATTCAAAAAATTAGTTCCTAAAATAAATCCAATTAATTGAAGTAAAACAATGTTCTTCGATAACAAAAATATATTTAATCTCCCAGATAAAACCCCTAACTGCTGATATTGCAGGATACAACTACTCTGAGGGCTATATATGTCCTAACTGGCACTGAATTATACCAGCAATACCCAGTAATAATTATTGAAAGTAAAAATATGTCCAAATGTTATTAATATAAAGACACATTCCTGATATAAGTGAATTTTGTTAAATGTTTCAAAAAAAATACCTTGTATTTTTGTTGTTCAAACATTACTATAGAATAAACATGGGAAAGTAGCTACTATTTTACAGTTTAAAATCATTGTTTCTTCGGGTAGCCAATTGCGAACAAAATTAACATTTAAGAAAGTTTCTTTTTTCATACCAGCACACATATCCATGCTTTTCTTAGTAAGTACCTATATTGTAGATGTAGACACTTATTGCAGTCTTAACTTTTATATGGTAATATTGGCTGAAGGACTTCGGTTGATGGTCATTTGATTGCCTCTGTAAAGTATGTTTATTAATATTATTTTCGAATAAAGTACACAGCCGACAAAAAAAATTCAATGAGTAGACCACCATACCCATATATTTTTGGATCAATGGATCCGAATTTAGTGTCCGGAAGGTTATTTGAAGGTCAACTCTTTTTTTTATAGTAATACCATTTTTGTCCCTGGATTATTTGAAGGTCAGCCTTTGATTTTTTATGGTATGTAATTTGTGACCACGGATTTCAAAAGAGTGAGAAAATTTCTGTTCGGGGTCATTTTTTCACTTTTACAATCATTTGAAGGTCAAATCCACCTTTCCAACTTCTGAGTTTGGACCACCTTCTGGTGACCTTGGATTTGACCTTGAAGGCCATATTCAAGGTTATTTCAAGGTCAACTCTGTTTTTTTAAAGGTATACTGTAAATGCAATTTTTAGGATTTGGTATCTCAATTTGGGGTCCAGTTTTTGATAAAATTACACTCCCGCTACCGATATCTCCGAAATGAAGAAATTTATTTTAGTTCCGGAAACTGGGGTTGTTGGGTCCCTCGAATAGCTTCAAATTTCAGTTAGTTCAAATCCTTCTGTATAGATGGCGTGGCGATACTAAAAAATTTTTTGATTCCTAGATCGTGGAAATTCAGATGTGAAAGATTGAAATTTTGAGTAATATTTGTAATATAAAGTTTTTCCCAATATTTACTTGTTTTCGAGACATGTTGACTTCAATATGCAATGTATGATGTAACAGGAAAATCTATTAATTTATTTAAATCACACTGAGACTAAATATTCTTTTAAAATATTGTTATAATGGCTTTATTCACACCACATACTAACTAACAATAAATTATAAAAAAACAAATGATCAACTACATAAAAAAAATGTACAGAGATAAATCTTATAATTAGTATACTTAGTTAAATTGAAAGACGCAAGCTGATAAAACTATATGTTGCGGGTCGACCGAGTAAGGTGTATGTAAATTCTCGCATCGATTTTGCCAAGTATTTCTGTGTTTTTAAACTGATTTATTTGTTGAGTGCATTCGTAGTAGTCCATTCGGTGGATCTGTGCATGCCCTCGTCTGTGATGAATTGGATTGCATCGATATCATCTGGTTAGTGTGCAAATCTATTTTGTTTGGGTACGGGTACCACTAGGTTGCCGCCAGTGGCGGCAACTTCACACTTTGCCATGTCTAATTGCGCTAAATGTAAAATCGTCAAGAATGAAGGTATTGTTGGCTGTGAAGGAACCTGCAAGAGATGGTTTCACTACTCATGTATTGGTCTTAACAGCGTTGAGTTCTCCATGTTAAGCAAGAGTACCAATTTATTTTTTCTTTGTGATGCCTGTAAAAAGAAGTGTTCTATTTTAGAAAATAATACTGCTAAGGAATACAGTGCTAATCTCCAGCGTGTAAACGATGGCTTTGCTAAACTTTACTCCTCTGTGGACCAAAAACTTAATGAGAAGTTGGCAGATTTTACAAGTCTTTTTAATAAATTCAAATCTGATATTGTGACCCAATTCACCAATGAAGTCAAAAATATTATACAAAGTAGTTTGGGAGAGGTTATTCTTCCTAAAATTGATGAACTCAGACCAAAAATCGAGCAGATATCACCGCGCAGTGATCTAAAAACAAGTTACGCAAATGTTATGAAGAGACAACCGTCCCTCGTGGTTAAACCTAAAGCTAAGCAGGATCATGCAGTGACTAAGTCCGATATGATTAAGAATATTTACCCCGTTGGGTCTGAAGTTAATATTACGAAAGTAAGAGGAGTTCGAGATGGTGGTTTGATGGTTGGTTGTCGAAGTTCCAAAGATTTTGTTAAGCTAAAGCAACTGGTTAGTGAAAAATTAGGGGACTTTTACACAATTAAAGAGGTCCCAGCACTGAATCCTAGAGTCAAAATTGTTGGGCTGACTGAGAAGCTGGATGAGGATACTATTGTCAATAACATTAGGAACCAGAATACTAATATTGTTCATGAGGATAGTATTTTTTCTGTAATATCTGTTAATCAATCAAAAAAAAATAATAGAGTATATCATGCCGTGATTCAGACAGATGTAGGTACGTATCGTAACTTAATAGACAGTGCGAAAATATTTATTGGATATGATTACTGCAGCGTTTTTGATGCAATTGATTTGCGTAGATGTTACAAGTGCTGTAGTTATCATCACTTGGCGAGGCGGTGTTCATCTGATGTTGACATATGTACATTATGCGCTAAAAATCACAGACTTGAGGATTGTGCAAAACCAGCTACGTATTCCTGCATCAATTGCCTTAATTTTAACAAGAACAATAGAGACCCCGTCCGCACCGACCATGCCGTGTGGGATAAAACCTGCCATGTTTACAGCTCGGCAATAAAAAGGTTTAAAGAGAATATCTTATCGGATAAATAGCAATTACCTTTTTCTGGCGTTGGCGTTTGTAAAAACGAAGCCCTATCTACTGATTTACCGACTTTCAATTTATATTATCAGAATGTCCGCGGGGTTCGGACTAAAACAATTGAATTACTGATGGGTTGTTCCGTGTGTCTATTCGACATAATCGCTCTCGCAGAAACTTGGTTGAACGATAATTTTCATAATAGTGAATTAATTAACACAAATCACTATGATGTTTTTCGTTCTGATCGTGATTCTATTCATACTAACTCTAGTAGAGGTGGGGGTGTCTTATTGGCTATTGCTAAGCATTTTAATGCTTGCAAATTTGATCATAAGCTGCATTACGAAATATTTCAGGATCTCTTCTCTATTGATATTATTTCTATAAAAGTTAACATTACGAAAAATCGCAATTTGTATATATTTGTAATCTACGTACCTCCTAAAACAACAACGGATACTTACGAAAAGCTATTTTTTGCTTTTGAATCTATGTACGTGATATATGATTCCGATATTGTTGTGGTGGGCGACTTTAATTTGCCTAATTATATTAATAATACCACTCTTACTGAACAATCTCCACTTCATTTACTAAATAATTTTATAAACTTTTATGACTTCCATCAATACAACAATATTCTAAATCACAATAACAGGATTCTTGACCTCGTTCTCTCTAATGTCAGATGTTCCGTTTTCCACTCTTCTGACGTGTTGTTGCCGGAGGATCCTCATCATCCTGCTTTACTAATAGACTTCTTTGTTCCCAATAATGTTAAGAGAATAAGAACACAACTAAGTTCAAATATTAATTTTAGGAAAGCGAACTTCCCTGCCTTGTATCACGAACTTACTTTGACTGACTGGTCCTTCATGGAAAAAATCACATCTGTCAACGATCTTGTTTCTCAGTTTTATGAAACCTTAAACTCCATTCTTCTGAAATATGTTCCCAAAAAGATACCTTCAAAAAGATCCTACCCACCCTGGTTTAACAGAGACCTAATTGTTGCCATTAATGAAAAAGCGAGGGCATGGAAGAAGTACCGTTCCACTTCAAATGCTGAGGATCATATAAATTTCCAACGTTTGCGATCAGCTGTAAAAAGCAAAAGTAAACTGGCCTACAACACATATATCGCTGATATTGAACATCAATTAAAACACAGTCCAAATAAATTCTGGACTTTTGTTAACGCTAAGAAAGGTAATGCAACCATTCCAAATATTATGACATACGACAACATGTCGTTAAATGATACTAAACAAATTGCCGATTCTTTTGCTGACTACTTTGCTTCCTCATTCGTAAACAGGGACAATAGTGATCCTTTGAGAAGCACCAATTTTAATATTAATACCAATGCTCTTTCGGATGTAATTTTCTCATACAACGATGTACTTAATTCCATAAAAAAACTAAAACCTAAAATGACCATGGGTCCCGATCTCATACCTGCCTTTCTTATCAAAGATTGTGCTACTGTGTTTGCCAAGCCTCTTCTTATAATATTCAACCGAATACTGTCCACTCATACATTTCCCGATCGTTGGAAAACTTCGAAAATCTGTCCCATATATAAAAAAGATAACAGGAATGACATAAAAAATTATAGACCAATTGCAATACTATGTAATTTCGGCAAAATTTTTGAAATAGCCCTACATAATATTTTGTCATTTCACCTTAGAAATATTATCCTACCAGAGCAGCATGGTTTTGTTGAAGGGCGTTCCACGGTTACCAATTTGGCGTGTATGGCGCAGTATATCCATGAGGTGATTGATAGGGGAGGTCAGGTGGATGTCTTGTACACGGATTTTTCGAAGGCTTTCGACCGTCTTGACCACGGTTTATTATTGTCGAAACTAGATTCCGCGGGGTTGGGTTCTTCATTGTTGGAGCTCATGGCCTCTTACTTATCTGACAGAACTCAGTTTGTCCAGATTATGGGAGAAAGGTCATTGGAATTTGCTCAATCCTCAGGGGTTCCACAAGGTTCTGTCCTGGGGCCCTTGTTGTTTACGATTTTTATTAATGATATAGCATTGGATCTGGATGTGCGTTTCCTATTATATGCGGATGATATGAAGATATTTTGTCCCATAGCCAATGAACGTGATGCACGTAATCTGCAGAGAAATTTGGATTTGGTAAACTCCTGGTGCGCTGACAATAGATTACCTCTTAATGTGGCAAAATGTAATGTCATGTCCTTCAGTCGGCAGTTGAGGCAAATTTCGTATGACTACCGATTACACGGGTCCAGCCTAGTTCGGCCAAATGTTATTAAAGACCTAGGAGTCTATTTCGATCCAAAACTTTCTTTCAGGCAGCATATGGATTTTATAGTTAAATCTGCCTACAAGAACCTGGGTTTTGTCGTGCGGAATATGGCGGGTTTTCGGAATCCCAACACTTTTAAACTGCTATACGGTGCACTGGTCAGATCTAGACTGGAGTATGCGTCTTTGGTTTGGACTCCTATTTATTCTATTCATGTGTCATGCTTAGAAAGAGTTCAACGTCGATTTTTTAAACTAGCGGTGTTCGCGCTTGATGGTCACTACCCGCCGAGGGGCTTTCCGCAGGAGGCATTTTTCGAACGCTTCAACATGTGCAGTCTCGCAGAACGCCGAAAAATGTATTCTGTTATATTTTTGTTTAAATTGCTCAATAATTTAATAAAATGTGAGAACTTGTTGAGGCTAGTAGATTTTCATGTTCCTCGAGTGAATGCTAGAAATAGGCATCTTTTGGAATTAAAAAAAGGTCGAACCAATTTGTACAAAGCAGCGCCTGTTCATCAGATGTGTGCCAGCTACCTAGAAGTTGAATCACGGTTAGATTTATTCTGTTCTACCATCAGTTGTATTAAGCAGGTTTATAATGTACGCAACTGATTTTATTTTGTGACTTTTATTGTACTTTAGTTTTGTCTATTGTCTGTTTTTAATTAGTGACTGTTATTTTTTCTTTTTTAATGTTTTTTTAACTTTTATGTATGTATCTTTGACACTCTTCTTTGTTGTTTCTTTTGTTTTACATCATTTAGATGACTGACTTCCTGCTTCTTCTCCTTATCCTGTAACTGGGCTTTATCGCTCGTTGGATATTGTACTGATAAATAAATAAATAAATAAATAAATAAATAAAACTGTAATTATTGGAAAACTAATATGTGTCATCTGTCATACATGATTTATTTTAAACAATATTTTGTCTCGGTGTAATTTAAATAATATACTTAATAGATTTTTCTGTTACAGCATACATTGCATATTGAAGTTGATATATCTCGAAAACAAGTAAATATTGGGAAAAACTTTATATTACAAAAGTTACTTAAAATTTAAAGATCTCTCAGATGGACCATATTTCCGCGTTCCAGGAATCAAAAAATTTTTTAGTATCGCCACTCCATCTATACGGAAAGATTTGAACTAACAATTCTAACAATTTGAAGCTATCCGAGGGACCCAACAATCCCAGTTTTCGAAACTAAAATAAATTTCTTAATTTGGGAGATATTGACAGCGGGAGTGTTAAATAGCACACCCTGTATATCAAATTTTGTTGCCACCATTGAAAATTATTTTTATTTACATTATTTTGAAAAGTTCTATCAAAAAAAGTTTCAGGATAGTGATTATCCAATAAAATATTTTTCACGAATCCTTCATTCTTGAAAATTTGATCTTTTGAGGAAATTAATTTTAGTGTATCATATAAACATTTTACTACACCTTTCTTATTTTACTAAACTGGAATTCAAATTTTAAGTTTACCCAATTAATCTTGAAATACCCTGACTGTTTAACTCAACTTTTTTATTCCAGACCATCATTTGTTGCGAAAAATATTAGAACAACTACATTTTGATCTTAACATTTTCATTCTAGGGTACCCGGAATTCATCAAGGACATGAACCAACTGGACGAGCGGTTCGAGAACCTCTCTGTACGGAATGACACCTATTTCGACAACAACATAAACATAAACTACTTCAACCTGAAGAAAATGTTGGAAAAGATAAACGAACCCGTCAATAAAACGACTTGGAGTAAGCACAACTTTATAACATCGCCTTTGTTCGGAATAATTTTTTCCCCGTTTTTAGGCATGGCGCCTTCCACGGTGAACGCCTACTACACGCCGACCAAGAACCAGATGGTGTTCCCGGCGGGTATCCTGCAAAACCCTTTCTATGATCCCAATTTCCCCCCCAGTCTGAATTACGGTGGCATGGGGGTCGTGATGGGACACGAGCTGACCCACGGGTTCGACGACCAAGGCAGGCAGTTCGACAAGTACGGCAACCTGAACCACTGGTGGAAGAACAAGACCATCGACAAGTTCAAACAGAGGACCAAGTGCGTCGTGGATCAATATAGTAAGTGTAACATATTAAATCTGGCTCGATTGATGTAGTTTTCAGTTTATTGTTTTCGTTTTGTGCTTTACAGTCCATTCCTTGTTCGTAGTACTTCAAATAGTTTTAAGGAAACTAGACAGGATTGAATTTAGATAAAAATGACTCGGAATTTAAAATTTTCTCGTTTAGCAACATGTTCAACGCTTTGGCCTGTATTGTAGGCTGTCGGAACTAAATTATGTAAAGTGTCCTTCAGTACAGGCCGAGAAAGTGAATGCTTTTTTGTTCGTCGTTGCACACTGTGAATTAAACTTTATTAAATCTTAACAGTAGTCAATACAACTTACTATTTCAGTAAAATCTGTTATATTTAACATTTTGCAAGCCAATATATTGATCAAGAATTTGTTTTCTTACGTGCAGTATATAAATTGCGGTAAATTTCCTAGCTTCAATAAATTATCCAAAAAGTTGGAGATGCTGGAAGTGATTCCAATTTGTTGACCAATTTTGGAGATTTTTAATTAGGTATCTACAGAATCCCTTGTTCTACAATTTTGACAATTGTTTTTATTTTAAATATTTAAACAATAGATTACATATTTTTGTTATTGCACATACATTAGTTTGGCATAAAGCAAAGTTTCTGCGGGCTATATACCCTGACCGGCATTGAATTGTACTCGTAACACCTAGTACAACAAGTAGGATCAATCGTCAGTTTAACCCGCCTCACATACATCGGACATTTTGTTTTCGCCCAGTTGGCGACGGTCGTGCAAATAATTACCTGGCAAATTTTAGCAGGTTTCATCCTACAGTTCCTACCAGTGTAGCCATCAGAATGGTGTAGTTGGGAAGTAGCGCGATAGGTGGAACCATTTGCGCTCTGTGTATAAAGGTTATTATGATTTGTGATTTATTATTATCACGCCTGATTTGTATTTTTAAATCTTTCACTTGTACATTTTAATTACAAATTTATTTAAACTTACAAGTTTTTGAATAAATGCCAGTAATATACAGGGTTGAAAAATCCACATGGTCCAACTGGCTTTACATGAGAGTGACAAAGTAAAGTAAAGAAATCCGTGCGATAGACAAGGATGGCTATAGTGAAGACGTTTCATAATCTGAATAGTCACTGACCGTTTCGGGTTAGAAGTGGGAGTGACTATTCAGATTATGAAACGTTTTCAATGTAACTATCCTTGTCTATCGCACAGATTTCTATGACTTACTTTATTGCTCTCATGTAACGGCCGGTGTACCATGGCGACTTTCCGAACCTGTATATTTTTACCCTTCTGCCTGTATTGAAGACTGCCTGACACAAGGTGCCCTTAACTACAGGCTGGAAAGTAAATTTTAGGTTATTTAAAGGGCAATTCTGATTCGTGCCTTTTAGCTTGAATAGGGTGTTGAAATTTTAATGGGCGTTAAAAATCAACTGGCATTCTGTAAACTGCAACTCATTTAAAAATATAATGGACATCCACTATTTTCCATATACATGTGAACCCTAGTTTTTCATAGCTGTCAAATTATTAAAAAGGCATCTTATATTTACATTCTCAAGAAAGTTTGCTGCAATTTCTGTTGCGGTAACAATTATTGTAGAACCATTTTGCAGTTGGCAATTTATCTTTCAAGTACCACTGCTAACATTTCACTTCTAACATATCCCTTAAATAATAACAATAACTTAAAATTTTAATAATTTTGGTATACAGGATAGGAAAGTCCCCATGGTTCATCGGCTGTTACGTGAGAGCGATAAAGTAAGTCATAGAAATCCGTGCGATAGAGAAAGATGGCTATAATGAAGGCGTCTAATAGTCACCGCCCATTTCACCCTTCCACAAATAAGAAGTGGATCTTATTTGTGAAAGCGCGAAATGGGCGGTGACTATTAGATGCTTTCATTATAGCCATCTTTCTCTATTGCACGGATTTCTATGACTTTCTTTATCGCTCTCACGTATCGGCCGATGAACCATGGGGACTTTCCGACCCTGTATGGTAGGTATCCTCTACCAACAATCTATGATTAAAACTAAGACGTTTGGACTACTTTTTCAGATTTTTAACATCCTGTTGAAATTATTTCATATTAGGTGTAGCCTTCAGTTTTGACATATAGAATAGAAATCCATTATTACTATTTAACGAATTTGTCAAAAATAAAAATGTTTGCATGTGTTAAATTTAAGTGAGTTACAGAATTACCCGTTTAATTGGTGAAATTAATTTTGTTAAAACTGGGAAGTCGTCATTTTAATATGATTTCTGTGATGCAAAATATAATCTTTTTATTCTTCGGTTATATTTATTTAGAGAATTTAAAACAGTAAAAAGAATATTTGTTTTTATTCTATGGCCTGCACTGATGGCTGCCTGAGATGAGACGGTCTTGAGTACAGGCCGGTAAGCTATGCAATATTTAAACAGCATTTTCGACTTATTTGCACTTCTGCACTTTGTTCGCGTTGTATATACCTTTATCCTGAACGAACTGGGATAATTAAGGATGCAAATATTCTCAATTACACAGTGTTTAAAAAAAACAAAATAGTATTAAAATTATTTGTTCCACGTTTTAATAATCTGAATTTGTGTATTAGTATGCTTTATATAGCTTTTTTAATTTACACTGCAATATTCCAGATAAGTACAAAATCAATGGGAAAAACATTAACGGGAACCAAACACTGGGTGAAAACATTGCCGACAACGGTGGACTAAAAGCAGCCTACCACGCCTACCTAGAATTGACCAAAAGCCAATCAGAACCTCCAGCACTGCCCGGAATCAAGCTCAGTCACCGCCAGCTATTTTTTGTCGCTTTTGCACAGGTTTGATTTATTTACCATTTTCTAACTTAGAAAAAAACGTCTTTTTAATCCTTAAAAATCACTTGCTTTGTCCAAAATTACTGTAGAAGTTTCTTAATCAGCTGTAGGATTTTATAAGCAAAAAACTATCATTCGGAATTAAAAATTCTGATAAAAATATCATTTTCTTGTAGGTGTGGTGTTCGGCAGTGACGAAAGAGGCCACGAACCTTCAGATAGAAAAGGACTCCCACTCTCCAGCCCAATACCGTGTTATTGGGGCCCTGAGCAATCTCAAGGAGTTCTCGCAGGAATTCAAGTGCAAAGCGGGCTCGAAAATGAACCCAAGGAACAAGTGCGAGGTCTGGTAAGAGAGCCGGCCGACACACTGAGCTTAGTTTCTTAATGTATTTAAGTGACAGTCTGTTAAGTAAAGAGATGTTACCATCAAAGTGTGTGATATCTCTGTTTAAATTGATGTATCTTTAATTATTGTTGTTGCAGCTTTGTTAATACTTTTATTCGGGAATTGGAAACATGAGTTTTACTTTTGCCATGTTTTTTCGTTTGGTGTTTGACTCTGATAACAAAATTTTATTATTACAATATTTTTTAGTCTAGGGCCTGTACTGAAGGCTGCATTTCGTTTTCATACTAGGTGACCTCCGATACAGGACGAAGCATAGAAACATATTTGGTTACAAAAAATATTTTTGTTTACATTTTTGTTTTTTGTTAACTAACATTCTTCGAAGGCCACTTGTACACCAAGACATGTTTGGAAAGCCATTCATTCAAGTCGTCATTTTAAAAAGTGCGCCCCTAAATTATGTCGTGCGTACAATTCGTTTTTACTGTTAACTACTACTAGAAAATTGACCAAAATTTTAATAGTAGGTAATTTTCGGGCCTAATCTAAGTGTCCATAGGATTTGAACAGGACGTGTGCTAAATACTTACATACAGCCTATTAAAAATTGAATATGAAGTTCTTTTATAAAGAATCGATTACCTGTGGCTTATTTGTAATATTTACATCAATTGTAATATCACTATGGTACTGGAAACGAGTACTTTGTACGTGTTATAATATATACATATATATCGCAAGGCGTTTGGGTCCTAACAGAATCAACCCGACCGCCTTGGATTTTTTTTTATAGATTAAGGGTGGTTTATTTTATATTAGCGTGTACCTGATTTCTTCCTAAAGTAGTTATTTTTAATTTAAAGTCATTACAGCTAAAATTAACCCATTTTTTATGTATTTTGTCGGTTGTACGTATTTTGTCAGTGTTTAAAAAAAATAACTATTTTTCTAGAATATTTAAAATAATTTGAGTATTATTTCATGTCATTTAAGACGAAATCATACTGTAACCAGTTTTTTACATAAATCACCAATTTGAAGTTGTTCGGGGTCATGGCGTGTGTCTACTGAAAGGGTTGTAGATTTAACCTAAAAACAAGTCACGGCCCCGATGATGGCTTTTTATATAAATGATTTAGATTATAGTATTGCTATATCCCAGTTACTCCCCCATAGGTTTACATTTGGAACCTCCATATCAGTCTATTCATATTTATGTGACTATTTGTAACCCCTGGGTTCAGAACAGAACGTTTTGTGTACACTGTGTATATTTTTTACTGTGATAAAGAAGTAAATGTAAATATTTAGATTAAGGTGGTGTTTCATTTTAAAATAACTTCAACGGGATACAAAGAACTACCTGGAAAACTACACATAATTGTGTTTTATTTTAAAATATCACCCTGTATATTTATTTTTTAACTTCTGTACGGACTATTTATATTTGCCATTTATTTGAAATGTTTGCAAAAGATAAGATCATTGAGTGATATCGAAAGAATAAGGGGTACTAAAGTGGCACGCGATTGGTTGACGTGTATCGATCAACCAATGAAAACTGAGTGTATAGTTCTTGTTGAGTGTTTTATGTAGCGACATCTATTATTCATTAATAGTAGCATGCTGTAACAAATTCCTGTAAAAGGTAGGTATCTGTAATATCGCCAAATACTTTTATAGATTAGTTGGGCATCTGACGTATAGATGGTGCCACACGAAGAATTTAATAAAAGTATCAACAAAATTTAAAAGATTGTCTAATTGATCAGTTCCGAATTCTGTCATATATCAACGAAATTCATAAAAAACTTAGAATCTGTTTCAACTTTTTTTTGGAAATGTGCCCGCCTTTTCTCATAAAAGTTGTTAGTTTCGTTTTTTATTTTCCAAGAAAATAATTATAATTTTTAAAAATCTTACGTATTTGTTCCTCCAATAAATGGCACCACTTACATCTCGTTGATACTAGGATACCGTAAAAGTATGAAGTCAGCAAAATCAAACCGGTTTTTAGTAACTTCTTTGTCAATTATATTCAATCAAAATCTCTCAAAAACAAGACAAACTAAAATTATACTCTTAATCTTATAAATATTCTCTACTAAACAAGCTATAAAACGTCAGTTATAAACCTCAGAACGTCCTCTCATTAATCTAGTTGAGTAGTCGATGCGCGCGGTAGATACCAACCCTTCCCCACCCTTGTGGATACCTTTCTTAAGACAATTTCCCGTTCATCCTGTGTCGGTGACATACATCGAAAATCGTGATGGCGCCATCTCTTGTTGCAAATTTGTCCTACGTATTTCCACATAAAATTTGGTTGCCACCAAAGACAAAATGGAAAATTAAACACAATTTTTCCAACTATTAAAACTAAAATTAAACAAACAGCGCAATTATTTTTATTCATCTGTTTATTTGTGTTTACATTACTCTACACATTTCTAAACGCATTAAAGACAAAAGTCCTCAAATTCATGCAAACTGATTCGATACATGGGAACACGTTTTTTTATGTTGATCACGTCGTCATGGGAAATTGTTGGAAAATTTCGATCAACACACCTGAATCTTTGCTCACCTAGTATATTACACAGGAAAAACAAAGTTCAAGCGTATCGATCTAAGTTTTGGGCCCTCGGAAACGTCAAACAGCATCTGAAATATACAACAATTTATTAGAACGTCATAAAAACCGATTAGCAATATACAAGGTGGGCCATTAGTGTGAGAAAGTAAAATAACTCCCTTGTTATTCATAATACAGAAAAAAAGTTTATATAAAAGTTGTACAGAATAAAAAAACCTAAAGGACAAAATTAATTTGAAACATACAGGGCGATGAGGAAAAACGGGACACGCCATTTTTTAAATGGAACACCCTGTATATTTTTAAACATGGATTTCTGAGAAAATTATATATATGGCAATATGAACAGTTTAATATTGTAGTGCAGTGTTGCCAAGTTATGTACAAAATTCTTCGAATTTTGGAAAAAACATGACCTCGAAGAAGTTGTAGTAACTTTCAACTACTGATACTTGGAGCAAAAATATTTGACAAAGTTATAGGCAAATGTTAGGAAAAGACTCATATTTTAGCTAATATCGATATTTTATACAGGGCATTTTTTATAATACGATCATTATTAGAAAGTTCAAACTTGATTTTCTAAAATTTTTCAAACGGAACACCCTGTATTTTATTCACATATCAGTCCATTTCAAGTCTTATTAAGTATGTTCTACATCTAAAGTTGTTAGTTTTTAAGATATAGCAACATTACTGGAAAAACCTAATTTTTATTATTTTCGCTCGCATGAAATGGCTTTGGAAAAAACTGTCACATTTGTCAACTTGTCAGTTCATAATATATCATTCCATTTTGAGTTAATTTTATTAGTTAATATTTGTTAGTTGGTATTCTATAAAATAATAAAAATTAAGTTTTTTCAGAAATGTTTAATAAAAGTTGAAGTGGACCGATATGTGAATAAAATAGAACAATAAAATACAAGGTGTTCCATCTGAAAAATTTTTAGAAAATCAAGTTTAAACTTTATAAAAATGATATTATTATCAAAAAATGCCCTGTGTAAAATATGGATATTAGTTAATATAGAAGCCTTTGTCTAACATTTGCCTATAACTCGGTAGAATTATTTTGTTCCAAGTGTTAGAAGCTGAAAGTTCGAGGTCAAGAATTTTCTACATGACTTGGCAACTCCGCACTAAAATGATAAAATGTTTATATTGCCATATAGAGAATTTTCTCGGAAATCCATGTTAAAAAATATACAGGGTGTTCCATTAAAAAAATGTAATATGTGGCGTGTCCCGTTTTTACTAATTGCCCTGTATGTTTCAAATTAATTTTGTAGTTTAGTTTTGATTCTGTACATCTTTTATATAAACTTTTTTTCTGTATTATGAGTAACAAAGCAGTTATTTTACTTTCTCGCACTAATGGCCCACCCTGTATAAATCAAAAGGAGCTCTTCAATTAAGTGATTTGCTCATTTTTGAGATATCTTGTCAACGAAAAGCTACTATAAAAACAGGCCGTAAAAAATAAATAAGTACGTTAACTTTTCCAGATTTAATAGGACATCAGTGCAATAGACACAGAAGCAGATAGAGTGCAAACTAGGCATAAAATTTACCATCAAACCATAGAACACAGAGTAAAAGCTGACATCACAAGTGGGTCAAACATGCGTTTTTAAAGTGTTAATTGTGATTCTGAGAGCTATCGACTTTTTGGTCCCCCTCCAAAAAAAAAATAATAATAAGAATAACAAATTTCACCCAAGGGAATAATAAAAAAATATGAAACGAAATATTGCACCCATTAAATGATCCTCCCTGTAGAAAAACATAAAGTCGAGCATCAGACACAACAGAATACAGTAATGTGCTTGGTTACTTAAGCGTTGGCGATATTCAGCGATAAGCAGGCTATGAAACAGCGCAACGTTGCCATAATTTCCAAGTTAAAAGTGTTTTCCGTTGACTTTTACTACTTATAAAGCAGTCTACTCGGGTGAACATGTATTTTATAACCGCAAGATAGTTAAAAGTAAACAAAAAATAAACTAGTTAACTGTTCTGTGGACCAAACCGCTATACTGATAATTTCTGGCCTCTACCGAGCAGCAAAGAGAAAAAGATCCCGGCCGCGGCAAATAAAAAAGTGCGCAATTCTGGCGACCTCACGGGCGACTTGGCAACGGCGCCGTCTCGTATCGACGCGTTTTTTTTCTCCGTTTACATCTCGGCGCTGGACGGACGGTTTTTTTCGGTTGGCTCACTTATTGGCCGCGCCTGAGAACGAAAACTTCAAATTAACGGTCGAAAACGTATCGCTGAAATCCCCGCAATAAATAGGCTATAAATAGCGCGGAAGTGCGGTCGGGGGGCGGCGGCGGGGGAAGGGGACCCTTGAGGATCCGCAGCCAACTTGGACGCGCCGCAGCGCTGCAACCGATTGCAACTGTTTCCAATACGACAGGAAAAAGAACGGCGCTGTTTTCGAAAAATCACACCGAAAATCGAACAAATTGAAAATAATTTTTAAGGCCAGTCAAAATCTAAGGATTCGTCTGAAAATTTCTTATTACAAACAGGTTGATTTTAAAGGCAATAACGTAATAGAGTTTTTGTCAGTCAAGATTCGATGATATAAAGGAGAAATATTTTCTTAATAAGTGATTTTCAGCAACTTAAATTAGGTTCTCAAGCCGTACCGGCTAGCCGGTAGAAGTAAAAGTAATTAAGAATAAAAATAAAAACTATTTTGAAACCAAAATTAGAATCTATGTAACATGCTATTTTTCTCATATAAAAGGAAGTTTGAAAGCAAAAAGTAGCAGTATTGTTACATGTTTAGATTTTAAAGTAGCAAATGGTACCTACATAAAACTACGACCTCGAAAATATTTAAGTAGGTCTTTTTCAAAACGACATAAATATGTATTTAACATTATGTGACATCTATTTTTTGGTAAAACTTCATCTATTGGGAAACCAGAAACATGAACTGTAGTAGAACCATTTATCACAGTTATCGAATATGCATAAAGGAAAATTTTGTAACCCTTATGTATTATGTTATTAATTAAAAAAGTATAAACTAAAAGACGGAACTGATTTATCACATAACAAAAGACTATATGCCATAGTCCACTTATTTTCTGATAACGGGTTCATTTCAATTTATAATATGGTGGCGAAACTACTCTGTGGACTACAGCCCCGTAGAGCATCGAATTACACCAGCAATATCTAGCAAACAGCTAAGATTTATTGGTCAGCAGAATCACACGGCATGCGATAGTTTGTAATTTATTAGTTTTCATCAATAAACCATTTGGCGAGACGAAAGACGAACGATCTATACTCCGCGGTCGAAATTATAGAGAGTGATTCATCGCTAGCTTTTGGACTAGTAAGGGGGATGAAGCGTGCTGGGAACGAAAATCCATTGGCGTGTCTGCGTAAACGGCAACAAGATATAGAAAATAATGAAAAAAGGTAATAAAACATAACATCTAATATTTTTTTTACGGTTTGCTATAACAGGCACTTTGATCCATTTTAATTATTACAGCATTTTAAAACGTTCCAATTGTGTTTTTTTTAATTTATAAATTTATTATAGCCATGGAATTAGACACCTCGTCTACGCTTATGCTATGACGTGTCTCAGGACGGGTTAAATCAAGTCCGTTTACACCCACTAAAAAAGCATTTCCCTATTCCCTACCAAGTGCAAAAGACAAAGATAGAATATAGATCGACGTTCAGTGT